GGGGGGAGGGGGGAAGGGAGGGATAGAGGAATAAATGTAGGGGTACTCAGCCATAAAGAAGAATAAAACTATGTTATTTTCAGGAATATGAATTGAACTGTAGACCATCATGTTGAGCAAGATTAAGCAAAAGCTCAGGCAGGGTTACTGTTGGCTCATTCCTGTAATCCTAGCTACTCAGGAGGCTGAGATCTGAGGCTCACAGTTCAAAGCCAGCCCAGGCAGGAAGGTCAGTGTTACACTTATCTCCAATTAACCACCAGAAAACCAGAAGTGGTGCTATGGCTCTAAGTGTTAGAACACTAGCGTTGAACTCAGGGATAACATCTAGGCTCCACAACTGACCAAAAAATAAATAAGTAAATAAATAAATAAATAAAGGCAAAACAAGATCAAAAAGCCAAATATCACATGTCACTCATTTGTGGAATCTAGACCTAAAATGATAATGGACATGAGTGTAAAAGGGGGACTCTATGTGTTGGGAGGAATCAGTGTAAGGAGATCATGGGAAAGGAAAGGGGCGAAGAGGAGGGGGGTATTACACATATATAGGTAAACACATTTACATATATGTACACATGTATACATATTTATTCATGAATATATAATTTATGTATATATAATATACATATATATATATATAGCAAATCGCATAATGAAACTCACTAGGTGCTGTTTGAAAAAGGAGAAGAGAGGAAGGGAGGCAGAGTATGGAAATATAATAGAGGGGGTAAACTATTTCAGAGTACACTGCATGTATCTGTGGAATTATCAAAATGAAACCTTCTCATATAAATGCATATGAGTTCAAAAGTTAAATTGAAAAATATAATGGTAGGGGGTTAAGGATGAGGTTCAAGGTAGAACAGTTGCCTAGGGTATACTAGGCCCTGGGTTCTATCCCAGCACTGCCAAAATATCAACAACCAAAAAAAAAAGGTACAAAAATTTCATCAGATTTCAGGTGCAATACAAATATCTGGAGCATGGAAGTTGAGTAAAATTACATAATCAGCTAGTGTCTAGACAGGAACCACCTGGTTCTTGCAAAGTTGGCACTGTAGCAGCCCATCTCTCTTATAGCCTTGGTTGAGCTAGCCCAGGACATCTGCAAAACCCTAACAGCCATGGCCAGGCTAGCCCAGGTCATTCTACAAGCCTGTACCCCTGTGTCTATACCCCTCTACTGTGCATCCACTGGGCTTGCCTGTTCTGCTGGGATGGGCTGGTAAACAGCAGTACAGCTCAAGAGTGTGAACAGAAAGTCAGATACTGTACATACTGTTCTACTTACATGAGGTACTGAGAGCAGCCAAACTCCCAGTGATGGATAATGACAGAGCTAGAAGGGGCTGAGGGAGAGGGAAGAATGGGAAGTTAATCTTTCATGGATCAGAGTTTGGACAGATGAAAAAGTTATAGATGTGGCTATGATAGCTATGCATGTGTGAATGTATATAATACCACTGTCCTGTACAATCAAAAAGGGTTAAATTGTCTGGGTGCTGGTGGCTCATGCTTGTAATCCTAGCTACTCAGCATGCTAAGATCTGAAGATGGTGGTTCAAAACCAGTCTATACAGACCAGTCCAAGAGACTTATATCTCTAACCAGCAAAAAGCTGGACATGGAGGTATGGCTCAAATGGTAGAGCACCAGCCTTGAGTAAAAAGTCAAGCCAGAGGCCTTGAGTTTAAGCCCCAATACCAACACAAAAACATATATAAACTAATATATATATGTACACATACACATATTCACCATTTTAGCCCATATATAGTTTATATTTTATACAATATATTTTAACCATATATATTAAAATGGTGAATTTCATATTACAAGTAGTTTACCACATGTAAACCTCTTTTTAATATATAAATGCAAATACCCACTGATCAGCTCCCTGTTTTCACCAGCTACCGCTCAAATAATGCTGGTACTGGAAGATTCAATGGATAACCAAGTAAAGGGAACTTTGAGCTAAGAGCAAGGCTGGGAAAATGTAGCAAGTCAGTAACTTTCAGGCATCTGTGATTAAGTACTTTGCCCACAGATGGTCTGACTAAAAAACTCATGTTCTTTTCTAGATTTCTGCTGGTTGTTCATGTATGATTCCACTTTGTTTCACAGCCACCCAAAGAAGTGAGATAACTAACAACAGGCCTACTGCTGGTGGCTCACATCTGTAATAACTACCCTTGAGGCAAAGAAATCTAGAGGATCACAGTTCAAAACCGGCCCAGGCAGCAAAGTCTGAGACTTCAACTTCAATTAACTCACAAAACACAGGGCTGAAGCTGGGTGCTGGAGTCTCATGCCTGTAATCTTAAGCTTCTCAGATCTAAAGGTTGTAGATCAAAGTCAACCCAAGAAGGAAGGTTCTATGAGACTCTTATCTCCAATTAACTACCAAAAAGCTGACAGTGGAGCCATGACTCAGTAGTAGAGTGCTAGCGTTGAGCCACAAAACTCAGGGACAACCTGTAGGCATCTCATGGTGGCAGTGGCCTGTTCAGAAATAGGGTCCTCAATGGGCAAAGGATTTGGGGGGAACCAAGTTGACAGCTCACCTTCTTGTCAGGGATTGAACCCAGAGCCTTGCACTCTACTATGAGCCAGGCACTGAACTTCACATTTTGACAGAGAAAGTTAACTGAGAAAGTAAAAGCATTCTGGCTTTAGTCAATGGACACTTATGCCAGAATCAGGTGAGTTCTGAGAATCCCTAGACTAAACAGAAAACAAACAACAAA